TATGGATAGTGGAATGTTCTTGCTATATTACCTAGTGACCCTGCACTGTGCATGAATTCTCCATTAGGTGTAAACACCAAGCCTGTCACTTGGCCAGCATGCTGGTTATGTTCAGCTAGCAGATTTGTTGTCCCGACATGGAACACTCTTACACATCCTGACATAAACCCACAGGCAAAGCACTGCTGCTGAGGGTGATATGCAATGGCACAGGGGAGCTCACCAGGAGCTTGAAAGTCAAACAGCTGTGCAAGAGTGTCAAGATCCCAGACTCGTATTGATTCATCAAAGGACACTGTGGCCAGATAACGGTGAGTGGAATCAAATGACATGGCTGAGATCTTTTGCGTATGAGATCTCATCAGTGTGGAGTAGGTGCGGGTTGATGTATTTAATACACCAAGATTACCCTGAAAGGTGTAAGAGAACAACGCAAATTAGTGTTTACAAGAGAGAAGAAAAGAAATTTTAACTTCAGAATGAACACTATTGATAGGTCATCACTGACTGAGCATTTACTGACAGTTTCTTGCCAATGAATAACAATATGAAATATGCAATATGAAAAGACTGAGCTCAGCAAATGTTCAAAATTACAAGTCTTGATATTCTACATTAATCAAACAGAGACCATTTGCATAAGATATCTTTTTTCTCCAAGTTGGATACACAAAATCATTATTCTCCGAGTTGGATATACACAAAAAATGGCTGTTGCCTAATGGAACTTTTGTTATCAGTACACAATAGCAAGCGCTATAATTTACCGTGTTTGTTCCTGCTAACACATTAAGTCCATCACTAGAGATGTTAACAGCTGTGATTGGGCCCTCGTGTTCTTAAACAAAACAGCATTATTTATCAATTAACTCTTTCAGAAACTATTGTTGGTAGTTAAGTCACCTGCACAAATAAAAAGTTGCCCACACTGCAAGTACCCCAGCTACCAAGGAGTTATGCAAATACCATTGTTCAGTAAAGAAATGCTCCTGGGAAGTGAGCTGCAATTTTAGCAATTGCAGAAAAGAAGCCTGAAACAGTTTAGGCTTCAATGGGATTCCAACACATGCTTCCCAGATACTAAGTGGGTGCTACTACCAGTTGAGCTACAAAGCCTGGCCATCATATTTCACCGACAATTTCCTAGCATGTGATCCTACTCCTGTGTGAGAGGAGGTATTGCACGAGCAAAGTATCTTCCCCAAGACCACAGCAGAAAACACAATGACCCAAGCACTGGCTCACACCCAACTAATACGAAATAGAGTCAACCATGCTACTACTGTGTCCCTTTCATTTTGTTTGCAAACTGTTCTAGCCTGGTAAGTACTAGTTAGATTGGTTGTGGCTAACATTCTCTCCTGTACCTGCAAATCCAACCTACTACTTCTTCACTACTATTACTACTACTACTAATAATAATAAACTTTATTTTTCAAGGGTGGCACCTGACAGCATAAAATACTGATAAACTTGTGGCTCTCATGGACTGATTCCCCCCTTTGATCAGCATTCACTGGTAGGCAGTTATAGTTACTTGCCCATTAGATCTTAGTTAAAATTGCTGATAGACTTGAACTGGAATTTGGTATTTAAAACATGATACTTACCAGCTTCAAGGAACACAGTGGAAAAATCTAAAGGCCACAACCGAAGGAAACCATCATCTGAGCCAGTGGCACAAAATGACTCATTTACATAGAGTGAATTGAGTCTGATTCCAAACTCAGTTGGAATTGTACCACCATACTTGCCAACTAGGTTGCTACGAGAACCAATAGGAAGAAGTCTGATTACTTTGTCCAGCATGATCTTCTGATAGTCAATCTGATAAATTGTCCCTTGGTTTGTACAGGAATAACTGTAAAGGAAAACATGATTAAATATCAATGATCATAGCACTTTTTTTGGTTTTGTTTTGGATCTTAGTGAATTAGCTGCTTGGAAAGGCTTAGTTTTTAATGCAAAATACTGGAAACTTCTCTTGGGGGAATGCCCTGGGAATCAAGCAACCTCTTCCAGTATATGGAATACTTTGGAAAATGAACAACACATAACCCTTTCACTCCCAAAATCTCATTTAGTAATTCTCCTTACTGTCTGCCATACAATTCTTGTGATTTTAGTTCAGAGAGTTTAGTATTGGATCAACTAATAACCCCCTCTAATTGATATTTTTCTTCATTCTCATCACTTGCCTGCTTATTATTGTATTAACATTGTAAGAGGAAATTCTGTCTTGGTCAGTCGTGGAAGTTTAAGGGTTAACACATACAACTTTAAAAAATAAAACTCATAGTGACAGATGGTAGAGTAAGGTTCATTGATCAATGTAACATGTCTACTGTCAAGGAAATTTATGTAAAAAAATTGCATGAATTGAATCAAACTTCTTCCCCCTATAACTGTCATAGATTTCCTTGTAAAGTGGATGTTATGTTTTACATCCCCCAATAGTTTATTCATTCTTGTCACCGTTTTCCTGAATAATGTGCTATTATTAATGAGAGAGGTGAAATGTTTAAAATTTCTTCAAATTTAATATAGGGTCACACCAGGTGAGATTTTTTTCTTTCTCAGAGTACTTGCAAGTTGAGTTATTCAAAGTATAAGTATAACAATTTAATACTACAATTTAAGATACAAATTTGCCAAAGCAATATACTTTTCTTACACTTTTCTAACTGTAGGATCTGCACTTGTGGGATTTTTGGCTCCATAAGCTATATCAGTGAAATGAACCAAGCCTTGACGACCAAGATCTACTGGACAAGACCTCAAAGAGCCATGGCGAATTCGCCAGAAACGAATGTTGTCATTACCACAAGAGATCAACCTTAACAAGAAAGACAGTAGTTGAAAATACATATTGCATGTCAATGATACATTCAAGCATTAGTAGAATACAAACTAAACCTTATAGAATAAATTCGAGACAAAACCCAGGAATCCTAAAGTAAAGTAAATCAGTATAATTGTGTTACATGAATTGTTAAAAAGGCTGTTCCAGCTGTTTGGAACAAAAGCAAATGCAAGGCAGACAGAGATTTTCCATGTAGACCAGAGTATATTGAATTAGTAAAATGTATCATCAATAGGAAAGACAGTCTGAATACTCAACAATATTGAAAGTGATTTTGGATGCTAAAAAAATTAATATGCAAACAATTAGGAAGAAAAAGTTATTCTTTGGAGGACATATTTCCATGGTGGATGTGGTTTTATTCTGTAATCTTCTAACTATCTCACCACCTTAAATACTGGCCAAAATGAAACACCCTAGCAAATGTCCTTAGAAATAATATGTTCTGTTCTAAGACCAAATTTTCTTGTAGTATTCCCCACCCTTGTAAATAAGATGGCAATACATGCCTATTCTCAGTTCTTTTAACACTGTAATCAGTACCTGCTGTCATCAAACTCTGCAATTCTCATGCGCTGAATATCAATATCAGTGTGTGCTTTGGCAATAATGGAAACTTCTCCACCTCTGATAGCATGACTGATATCCCAAACCACAATCAGCTACATGAGGCAAAGGTAACAAAAAGTAAGTTCACATTCTTTTTTGATTAATGGTAATGTTCCTTGTTTAACAATGGCTACTAAGGGTGGAGAAATACCAAAGATACACTGTAACTCCTTTAACATATTGTAAATAAACAATCAGTCAAATTTTCCTTACCAAGCTACTAGATTTAAGTGAAACAACTATACCTGCTTTCCAAGGTTGTCTTTTCCAACACCACATAAAATGTTGCCACTGTATGAAAGACTTAAAACAAGAAATAATTCATAAAGTTAATTTAATAAGTTTGCCACAAATTTAAAATGAAACTTGCAGAATTACTAAACTTGGCATGATCATTCAAGTAAGGAGGTTTATTTCTCTGTTTGGATGAAAAAGTAAGAGAACTTTCAATTGTAAGAAAGGCCCATTATTTGGTAGGATTAATGAAATCTCTTGGACAAGTGATACTATAGATACTTGTTACGAATGGTGCCATTACTACCATTTGAGGGCTAGTCATTTATGCAAGGTTTAACCCAAACTGCAGTTTTATGCAAACAGTGGGCCTTATTCATCCTCTGTAAGAGGGTTGTTTTAATTAAATATTAAATGTCCTTAAACTACTACTACAAAAATAAATGTTCAGATAAAAGATTCAGCTAAGGATAGTTAAGAACATGGCTTTTGTTAAACAACAGTTGAAGCTGGCCCTGAAGGTTTTCAAAAGAACATTTATGACCACACCTACCTTATACAGTGCACATCATGCACTTCGGCTCGAAACATTGCGGTGCACTTTTGTGAGTGGTACTTCCATATTCTGATAACAGAAGGAGATCCAGTCTGGGCTGAAGCTAAAATATCTCTTTGACCATCAAAGGCCAGGGCTGAAACCTGAAAAGTATTTGTGACATAGTTGTAATTATAATTTAAATTCTCTTACATGAACACTATCAAATATTAGGTAATAAAAATGGCCTTTTTCTCTCTCTCTCTCTCTTTTTTTAAGCTTTAATTTCCACTCTATTTGATTTGTTTTTGATAAGCTGAGATTTCCCAAGACCAGTTCACTAGAATTGTATTTTATCTCAAGGAATTTTTCAACCTTGATCAAATTTTGTTTAGTTTTTTCACTAGATATTTTCTCAAGTGTTTCTTCCAAGATGTCCAAACCATTTTATATATTTTTTTAATCCTTTGATTTTAAAACCACTTTTTATTAAATTTTGTTGTAAGATTCCTTTTTTTTTTTTTTTACTAGCTCTTCTGCATCTTTGGCTTTAAAAAAGGGCAAACTTTGTGTTTTCAAAAAAAATGTTCACAAGTTTAATACACTTATTCATAGTAACAGTTACCTTGTCTGTGTGACCCATAAAAAACTGTTGTTGTCCAGATGACACATCTATTG